CTAAATAATGAATAGTTATGTATTGTTTATGTTCTGCCAAGGTAATAGCATGCAGCAATGAAGGTTCTACAGAAAGTCCAGGAACAACATAGCAGCAACAAAATGAGTTTTTACTGCCACCTGATGATCATTAAAGATAACTGCTGCAGACTAAAATCTTATTAATAGATATTATAGGTGCTGTGAATAAAAACTAGATACTTACCTATTTGCTTGTTTTAATGCATAGTAAATGCACTGTGGCATTCCAGTTTTAAGCCTATAAAAGCTACAAAAGTCTGACAGCTTCAAAAACTTTTTTTTTTGTGTGGAAACTGAGTATTTCATGTAATTCTAAAGGAAACCTGTATGGAATTATACCTGTTATTTGTGACCTCTCCTTTTAGGTTTTCACTACACTTGCTGCATGCTCATATGTTGCAGTCTTATGTGGCTCAAACGAATTAAAATGTATGTATAGCCAGAACGTTTGTTAGTTTTGGATGGAATAAGGAAGGAATAAAACTCCTGAAAATGTAATTTCTTTCTTTTTTGTTGTTGTTTGCGTACAATTGGGAGACATTTTTGCTCACTTCAGTTTGCAGAGACATAACATTCCCCTCTTTTCTTGCTGTGAGGACGAATGCGCAGAAAACCGCGCTGAATTTCAAACTGCTATGTGTGAACGGAGCCTTAGTTATTTTTGTCCTGTATTTCTCTTTTCTTTCTCGGTAGCAGTGGTTACCAGGACAAAGAGAGGGGAGATACAGAAAACTAAAAACTTGACAAAGGGGATTAAACTTTCCCAGTCTATACAAAACTAAAAAAGGTTTTGCCTGGAGATACACTTTACGTCAACGGTAGCCAGGTAAGTAGCACTTTCAGAAGTAGGTTAGAAATGGCAATCTACATATTTCTCTTAGCTCTTAGTACAGATTTCCTTTAGTAACTCTAGAAAAGGGAAATTCTCGCAGATGGCCATAACAACCATTTTCCTATATCGCTGGAAAAATAATAATTGGAATGCTATAGGTTGCTATGGGAAAGAGACACACTTTTCCCTGTGTTCGGGAATTTATCCACTAGAATACCATTGTACATCCCTGCTGAGGACTCAGTCAATAGTTTGGGTATCAAGACCCTTTTTCTAAATTGCCATAAAGTGACACTAAACTCAGGAGTTCAATCTTAAAAATGTGCTCAAGTACCTTAACTATTAACAAAAATGTATCTTATTTGTGTATCACTCAGCTGTAGATCCTCAAATCATCTCTGAATTCATACTGACACTGTCCTTCCTCCCGGAGGGTGGCTACGTTTCTTCCCCATGGCCCCTGTGTGTGTTGCAGAGTAGCCACCGCTTCAAGCTCACTACTGTGATGGACTACAATCTCAATACAAATTGGTAAACTAAAAGTGAGATTGTAGTGCATCACAGGAGTGAGCTTGGATCGGTGGCTACTTTACAACCAGGGCCGGTGCTGCCACTAGGCAAACTAGGCAGCCGCCTAGGGCGCACTGCTACCTAGGGCGCAGCCTTGATCCCTCACCCCCCACGGCACCCCCCATCTATTTCAAATTGCAAAAGCCAATAGCAAGCTGGCTATTGCACCTGTCCACTGAGCAGAGGAGCGTAACTGAGAGACAACTTTCTCTCTCAGGCCCACTCTGCTCAGTGGGGTTTCAATAGCACGTCTGCTATTGGCTATTTCAAATTAAATTACATCCACCTGTCGCCTGCAGAAGCTAACCCGCAGGAGAATGGGGCTGTGCAGGGGGGGGATTGGGGGTTGCAAGTAGCTGGTCTTGCCTAGGGCACAAAATAGTCTAGCACCGGCCCTGTTTACAACACAGGGACAATAGGGAACAAAAGTAGCCACTCTCCAGAAGGATGGACAGTGTCAGCACCAATTCAGAGATGATTTGAGGATCTTTAGCCGAGCAATACACCAATAAGATACAGTTTTGTTAATAGTTAAGGTACTTGAATGCATTTGTAAGATTTAACTCCTGAATTTAGTGTCACTTTAAGCCATTTTGTTACTTTTGCAGCTAAAAAGCTGGCTGAAAGTGATTGGAATCGGGCCAGTGTATGACCAGCATAATTGAACAGTGATGCAATGGAGGTAAGTGAAGTTTCCTATTTACATTTGTACATTGCTAGCTTCTGACTCTACACTGATCTGAAGTCATTGTTTCCCATGGAGGATTTCTATAAGCTGTGACTAAAAGGATCCCCCTGCTGAAGAAATGTATTCCCTTACCCCTAGGTGCACAATCCCTGAGTTAGAAGAACCGCAAAGGGGGTTTCACTATAAATATTAGGTTTTTTTTAAAAACCCACAATCAGCAACGAATACACTTCAAACATGTTTTCAACTTACTTGATCCTTCTGTGTGCATTCCCCCATAACTGAAGGTAAGTACCTCCGAATGGACCTGGGGCTGGGGGGATTTTAATTTTCTTTGGTACTTTTTTTCCAGTTTTGTTCTGTATGCTTTATTTATGGATACAGTATATGCTTAGTTTATCATATGTTATATTTTTATGACTTATCTATGACCTGGGGAGATTATATCTTTCCACTGTTTGTCTGCAGATCATTATGGTCCTCTAATAAATGCATAGCAGTCCGAAACTGTATTTGTGTGCACACATACATTACAATGCAAACATAATGGTACAACTTGGTACAGTTTCCTGGAAACAAAATGAACTGTAAATACTGTGTGTGAAACCTATATCGAGCTAATATTTACTTTATCTTCATCCATTAAAAGCACCTTCTAAATGTCAAACCTGCTATACTACAAGGAGGGAGCAGACACCATAAAATGATCATTGAAACCAAAGGTAAAAAGTATACCATTAAATACTACAACCTCAGTAATGTCTGCTTTGTGGTATAGATGTATAAAACATGTGAGAAAAGGAATTATATGGTATATATTCATGAACAATGTCGTTGGAGGAATTATTGTCTGGACATGAACATACCATAGAAAAGCATTCCTTCCAACTTTGTGAGATGGGAAAGAGGGACACATTACAGCATGAAGTATTCAGGCAAAGAGCATGCCCCTGCCAGTAACGTGGTAAATTTTATTTTTAATTCATGACTAGACTTCTGGAGGAATTTTAAAGCTGCACTATGGCCTGTGATTTCCCCCCTACCCCCGCAAAAACAATACCCCTTTAGGTAGTCAATGCAGCAATTTTTTACAAAACAAAATCTATATGACCCAAATGCTCACCTTAAATCTGTGGTGACATGACACATTGATGGTAATTTATCAAAACTGGAGCAGAGAAAATCTGGAGCAGCTGTGCATACCAACCAATCAGCTTCTCTCTTCAGTTTGTTCAGTTATTATTTGAAAATGAAAGAGAGAAGCTGATTGGTTACCATGCACAGAAGCTCCAGATTTTGTCTGCTCCAGTTTTGATAAATTCTCTTTGTTGTGTTTCAAGTCTTCTACGTATCTGCAGAGTAAGAAGGTCCTTCTTCGGGTGTCTGTGTAGTGTAGTGATGTGGACATATCCAATGGGCTTACTGTCAAAAGAAGGGTGGCAACAAGACCAGTTGGTGGCAGGCCCAGAATGCAGTGCTAGATCACCGGTCCCCACAAGAGGAAGGGGCGCCCGCGAGGGACATGTAAGTCAGGTAAGAAAAAACGGGTTTCGGAGGTTATCTTTAAAAAAAAAATAGTGAATGGGAGCAAAAGATGGGGAGAGGTTGCCAGGAGATGGACCTACTTAATCTGATTTACATAAATCTAATTGTACAAGCTTACTTATGAAAGATTAAGATTTACCCCCTTATCCAGCTTCACTTACACTATATGGGTTGAAATGCTCACTTGTGGCGGGGTGAGAGATCACCAAAGGTTTCAGAGTTGCTGCTAATGCCAACTGGCTGACATCCATACACTTCTTCCCAGCTTTTGAGTGTGCAATGTGTAAGGTCAAGCAATTACAGCAGCAATTTTCAGACTTCAGGTGATCTGACTCCACTGATCTAAACTAAAATGTAAATTTCAGAATCGCCAAGGAAATATAAATCAGGGGACAAATCAAAATCTTTTACAAATAACCTCCCACATGTATAATAATGTAAGTCTGAATATTTCGATTATTGCATAAGCACAGTAATGACTGACTCTCTTTAAGAGAAGTTTGTCATCAATTTGACCTACTAACTTTTTCGCTGCATGGATCTGCGCTGGTTATCCTTCAGATTCACTATGAGTGAAGTCAAGAAACTCACACAAGGGTGCAACAAGTATTTCAGTGTAAGGGACTAATGGCTCCAGCACACCTATAAGCAGCCACTGATCCTTTGTTTGTGTAGTCAGCTCTCAAAAAGGGAGTCTTTTTCCATGGCTTGAGTGTGTCAACACCATCTGCTGACCTAAATAGGGAACTGCACTTTAGCATGCCTATGATCTTATCAGGTAGTACAAATTCAGCACTATATTGTGTCCTTTCTACCTAATACAAATCTGCCTGGGTGTCTCCGGCCTCACCTTCCTCCAAGTTATGCACCATGTGGCTGCATGATCATTTTGTACTCTGCTAATAGGACAAACCTAAGGGTAGCACTCTAGGAATGTAACATAGCCAAATATAAAACTTCCTGCAAAGATGGAATGTTGCTTAGACTCTGCATCTGGAGAGAACACACTTACCGTGAATGATACTGATACACAAAACAAGTTTAATGGCCTGGCCACACTCCTATGAATATTTATAAATATTTATATCTATCTGGATAAAAGTTTCTTTATTAATGTATGAAAGATGAACATAGAGCAAGAGACGAATTTATGACACTGTTATACTTTTATCAGTTCAAGCTATTTTATTTATATTTAGCACTCTGTGTAATATATTGTGAACTGGGTAAACCTGAAATGAACTGAATGAACTTTCAATGTTTCAACTACATGTTTACTAAGTATAAATTATTCATTTTGGTTTGAAGGAAAAACACAGGTATTTGCATTACAGCATTCTGACTCTATGATGCTGGCATGGATTCCTCTAGCACCTCCTTCCAGTTTTTCTCCACCTCATTCAGGCACTTCTGAAAAGCTTCATTGAGTCTCTTCGCTTGTTCAGCCAGGGCAGGATTGCTGCGTGCAGTCACCATGTCATGAGCCATCCATGCAGCATCAACTAATAACAAGCACAAGGTGCACATTTGTTTTCTGCAGTGTTTTTTACATATGTGCAAATATGAAATGGAGTTCTACTTTTATCAATGACAATTACTGGTTTTTCTCAGACTGCATTCAAAGATAATTTGTCACAAGAATGTCTTGGTGTGCAGCGTTACTATTGAAATAACATAACATCCTATAACTTTCTCTGTGTCGGGAACAATATTCAAAAATGATCAACACTGTTTAGATAAGGGCAATGCTGACAGCTGGCAACTCTACTGTAGTATTTCCACAGCTTTTAGCCCGATATTTAAATAAAAGGCACAAAAACTGTCAATTTTTCCTCTGTTTGCCTACCAGTCTTAGTATAAATGTGAAAAGTAAAAGCAAACGTAAAGCAAAAGCTGCTCTGTAGATCTCAGAGGGCAAATGATTGTCAGAGGGGTGCAGAGTGCTTGGTTTACCCATAAGTTTGGCTTGGCCAAATTTAGAAGTATCTGCTTGTCAACCTGGAATAATAGCTATGACTGTAAATTGCTGTAATCTACCCAATTCACTGTACTAGAGACAACAGGCTTTGGGGTCACTGACTTTGGTTAGATTTTCACCAAATTCAGATGCCAACAGCTAATCTAGGGTGTGATAAAGAGCTCTTATGAGAGCTGGAAGCACATGTTATTATACGCAGAGACTTTCTAGCTAGGTGGAAATTCTTTGTCTAGCATGTGATAACATGCCCTCTTCTAAATGAGAAGAGAAAAGTAATGGTGCAGTAACATTGGTGTCAGGATCCAGATCTGAACCCAAGGCCCCTGTCATGTCTGGTGGTGGCTCTTCCTGCTGAGAAACCTGAAACCCTGGATAGCTCCTTGCCTGATCTCTTGTGCAATCTTCAGTTAAACCTAGTTTTCTGCTGAACTCCTTGCTTCTGCACTTCCTATGTGCCAAATCATTATGCCCTTACCAAAATCTTGCTTTCTATTGTAAGACTGCATTCTCTATACTGCTATCTGTGTACCAAACCTTGGCTGCTGTTTCACCAACTATGCTTATTGCCCTCTACTTGAACCTTGATACCTTTGGCTTCTGACTTCAGTTTGACCACTGACAACGTTTCTGCCTGCTCATATACTGCTCCTGCCCACTTGTGTGCCAAGCCTGTCCAAGCTTGCCTGCTGTTTCAGCTACTGGACTCCGTGCTTCATCCCAGATTGTGACAATTGGACAAATTGTATAATAGAGTGTGGCAAGCCTCAGCACTTTCATGGATGGGTAGATGTCACCCTGTCCATTGTTTTCAAGAGACATCTGCCTATCTATGACCAGACACAATAAAGGAGAAGGAGATAACAGATGGCAAAGGTGCCACTATCCAAGGTGTAAGGCAGATTGGGGTGTGTGCCAGCACTTTCAAGGATAGGAAGATGGCTCCCACTCATGGGCTATAGTTCTTGGAATTGGTGAACAGTCAGTGAGCACTCTATGGCAATATCTGGGCCATTATTAAATCTATATGCAATGTTAAAAGTATCTGATGCAAATGATAATTTACTATTCCACATTGACATTCAATGATGACTTTGTGTGTTCAATAATCTCATTCAGTGATTTTCTTTTAAGGATTGAACATGACTTACTCACATCATATATCTTACCTGATAACTTTTCCATTTGCTCTAACATTTGTTCTAGATCCTTGTTTAGATCTTGTAGCATCTTTAACACATCTTCATGACTGTACTTATCAGATTCTGGAGCATCCATCTAGTAGAAAGACATATTTAAATATCATGCATTCGACTCACTAATAAATTAGGCAGTTCAATGCAAAAATAATTGAATGGGGTCACGTCTCAGTGTTCCCATGAATTATCATTTTCATTTTATTTTTTCACATACAAACATGTGGGAAAATAACTCATACTGCACATATTGCACATACTGCACATACTGCAGGAGGAGTTTTCTTTTTTGCAACAATATGCAAGTATGTAGAACATACTTACACATTATGGCAAACTCACCTCTATATTTGCCTTTCTCCACTGCTAGCAGTTCAATGTTATGTCTTGCCACTCTGTCCGCCACCACCATCTTATCTGCTGCTTCTTGCGGGTCCAGCATCCTCCTTCTTCTGCCATTGAGTGGCCACTGATCCCAGCACCCGGCTTCATTTGCAGAATCTTAGAGATGCCAGGAATGGGTCGGGAGTGTAAAGTGTGTTACTGGGTGCCCTTACTGGACATTAACTCATTCTCATTGGATAGTGGAATAGTAGGGCTTATCTATGAATTTAGAGAACCTCTGGTCCCAGAACCTCATGCCTAGAAGGAATTTCATTAAAAACCTTAAACAAGACAGGTTCTCTTTATGGTCTTATTCACTCCTTTTACTTAATGCACATTTACTTGCATTAGGTTGCAATAATGCATAAAGTGCCTTGTGTTAAGGCAGCTCATTCATTTTACATGCACCAGCAAAGCACAGAAAATTGGGCAGTTATCTTTTTTGCCAACACTGTACAACACAATACAGAGATGCTCCCATGTGTGGATTGTGGTGCGCTGAAAGGCACGTATAAAATAAATGATCATGCGTTACTGTACATTGCAGTAAAGCCCAGCACAAGGTGTTACTGCAACGCATAGGTGTAAAGCCAGCTTAAATGGCGATGCCAAGCATCACCAAGGTTTTTAACGTTATCTAGCAATAACCGATTAATGGGAAATACACGAGTGAATTGCAGACGTACTGCAGGGGCTATTGTAAGAAACTTTCCTCATTATCCCTGTATTTAGAAATCACTTTTACTTTTAAATCTATACATTGGCAAACAGGTTTATATTAAAGCTGAGCTTAATGAACTATATTTTATTAAACTTACAGCTTGGTTACATCTACTGCTTTATACTTCACATCCAGAGAGCTGCAGGGGATGCATACATTAACTGTAGTATTCTGAGCTATACAGAGTCAGCGCTGGTCTTCTCTGGGTGCTATTTGAGTAACTTGGCTGTCTTTTTTTTTTTTTATCGTTAAAAGGTGTTCACTGATTGGGTAAGGCGGAGATTGTGACGTCATCCGTCCCTCCTCTCTGCTTCATCCAATCAAAGAACATTGAAAAATATTACAATGCGTTATCTGTATGGTGGAGGTGCCAAGCAAGTGACACCCTGTGTTCAGTACACAGACGGCAAGTCAATTGAGCAGCACCCAGCAGAAGAGACCAGTGCTGACTGTAAGTAGCACAGGCTACGCAGTACATTTCTGCATCCCCAGTGGCCCTCCGGATGTGAGATATGAATTAGATGTAAGCAAGCTGAATCAATGTAAGTGTAAAAAAAATAGATAATTCCTAGAGTTCAGCCTGTATTAGGGCTGCAACAACTAATCGACTAAGTCGATTATAATCGATGATTGAAAAAGTTGTCAACGTTTTCAATCATCGATTAATCGGTGTTCGATTAGTTGGCCCTGTTCACGGCTCCACACACGACGCGCGCCGCACCTCCTCCCCGCCTTGCTGCTGCCAGATCCACCCGCCCACATCCACGCTCCACCTCCTCCCCGCCTCATGCTCACAGCCCGCTCACATCCACGATCAGCACAGGGACACGGGGAGAAGAAGAAGAAGTAAGGAGGAGCCGGTGTGGGGGGATGACAGCCGCCGAGAGACAGGCCAGATCTCAGAAGCAAGTTGCTGGAAGCCTGCTCAGGTAGTGAGACTTGTATTCCTCTATAGCTGATGGTGCATTGTGCTGTATATTATACAGAGCAACGTACCATCAGCTATAGAGGAATACAAATCCCAGCAATACATTATACACTGTATGTATAATGTATTGCTGGGATTTGTTGTATTCCTATATAGCCGGTGGTATTCTGCATTGCGCTGTGTAATGTATTATTGCTGGGATTTGTTGTACTCCTCTATAGCTGGTGGTATTCTGCATTGCGCTGTATGGAGGACTTACAAATCCCAGCAATAATACATTATACAGCACAATGCGGAATACCACCCGCTATAGAGGAATACAACAAATCCCAGCAATAATACATTATACAGTGGTGCAATGCAGAATACCACCAGCTATGGAGGACTACAAAACCCAGCAATAGTACATTATACAGCGCCTCATAATCTGAGCCGACCTGTGACAATGAAACTGTTCAGCAGATTGGGAAGTGAGTGAACACATACCGTCGCTCGCTCACTTCTCGATCTATCCGTGCAGAGAGTCTGTCACTCACACAGCTGGGTGGATCCAGACAGCATTGTTGGGATCCGTTCCGGCGTCTCAGTATACCGCGAGCTGAGCTTTGGGTGACGGGAGGATGCTAGTTTGTGTCCTCCCATTACCCTTAGGAGAACTATGGGGAAAAGCACTGACCCCATAGTTCTCCTTTAGGGTCTGTTCACACGACGTCCGTTTTCTGTGCTGACCTGATCCGTACGCTCCTGCACTAAATATGCATCCCAATGTATCCCTATGTGTTTTATGGGCTACAGTTCTCACGTGCGCAGTCCGTTCAGGTTACGACTGCATGTCACATTTTGTCCGGTCAGGAAACGGACCGGAAACGCAAAACGCGTCAAAAACGCACTGCACTGCTAAAATACTGACAGCCCCACTCCTGCGTCTGCAGATCCGCACCTGATCCGGACCTGATATCATGTGAACAGGCCCTTAAGGTTAACCTCTTGCCGTCAAAAGTAAAAAAATAAAACCCCCAGTGGTGAATAAATACCACCAAAAGAAAGCTCTATCTGTCCCCAAAAAAGGGTATAAAATTCATTTCAGTACAGCGCTGCATGACGGAATAAATGTCAGTTAAAGTACCGCAGCGCTGAATACTGAAAAATGGCCTGGATGGGAAGGGGGTTTAACACCGCGGATGTCAACTGGTTAAAGGTGCAGTGAGGTGAGCACCATAATGACAACTGTTTTCCTCCCTCAGTTAGAAATCTGTGTCATAAGTCCATTTTCCCATGATGAAATGTTTCTACCACCACCAAATGCGTCCACATATTTCAGAGGGAACAAGCAACAGGTTGACAGGATAATCCATTGTCAGCCTCCTGTTTCTGGGTCAGGACAGACCCAGACACAAGACACATAAATCTGTATGGCCAGCACAGTTTATGGTAAACTGCGAGGCCTGAGGGCAGTTTGTGCAGTGTCTGCCGGTAGCTAGATTTCCAGCTGGTTTTTGTACAGGTAGAGCAAGTTTTACAAATGAGATACTTGAAATAAAGTTACTTTGGTTTTAGGTTGTCTGTTCTGTGTATTTTCTCTCACGTTTACTCACATTTTTTTATTATTTTTATCCTTCTCTCTGATTCAAGCCTGGTAGCCTCTGGCTAGGTGTCCAGATTTGGATGTACCTCAGTGCCTGCAGTGTGCTGCCACCTGCTGGTCAGAGCTACAGTTACTATGACAACTGCAGGAGGCCTAGGTGCAGTTTACATTGGATTTCCGTTTGTTTGCAGTCAAATTTGAGAAAACTTTATACTATATTTTGTGTTCCCATTCATACAGAATACCTGAAAAAAATATATATATATTTTTTCCTCTCATTAACATAAAGTATAAAGATAGATGATAGATAGATAGTTAGATAGATAGATAGATAGATAGATATATAGATAGATAGATAGATAGATGGATAGATGGATAGACATGCAGAGTTAGGCACCGCTTATGGATTCAAAAGAGCATTTAGTATTCAGAGAAGCATTTAGTATACAGAGAAGCATTTAGTATACAGAGAAGTTGGATTCTATGACTGACTATAGACTCAAGCTTCTCTGCACACTACATGCTCCTTTAAAGAACTGTGAGTGCCCTATGTATACAAGTATATACTGAATATTTATCAAATATTTAATCCTTGTATTAGGACAGACCGTGTCCAAATCTAGTTTACTACTGATAATGAAATCTGCCAGCCCAGTATAGACAGGGTTAAACATAAATTCCCACAGCCCCCTCTTAACATTACATTAGGGGGAGGCTAGATAAGATTTTTAAGCATTTTTTGAAAATACAATATATGTGGGAACATATAACAACCGTATAGTAGGTGTTACCCCAATTTGGATGCAAAATTGAAAATATACTTTAATCATCACAAATGCTTATATATGGTTGCTGTATTATATTTACAGAGGCCATAAAGTAGATAGATAGATAGATAGATAGATAGATAGATAGATAGATAGATAGATAGATAGATAGATAGATAGATAGACATGAAGAGTTAGGCCACTCTTAGGGATTCAAAAGAGCATGTAGTTACAGAGAAACCTTATTCTATGACTGACTATAGACTAAAGCTTCTCTATACACTACATTCTCCCTTAAATAACTGTGAGCGCCCTATGTCTACAAGAAGACATGTGCACTGCCAAAAAATGTGTTTAGTTTCGTTTCGTTTTAAATTCAGATTTGTGTTATTTCGTTTTTCGGGATTCGGGTGTGAAAGTCAATTCGTATTCGGAATTCGGATTTGGACGAAATTCGGTAGCGGTAGTTCGAACGTTAGTTTCGTTTTCGGTTCTTATTCGTCTCTTATTCGTTTAGTTCGTTTGCAGCAAAGTGACATTTGAGGGGGAAAAAATGTTTTTTTCCTTCTCTAATGTCACTAATGCTCCAACGAACGAAACGAATAAGAAACGAAAACGAAACGAACGTTCGAACTACCGCTACCGAATTTCGGAAACGGAAATTCGGATTCGTTTGCATTCGTTATGTCTGTAATTC